TGGGGGCGTGGGGGGATTCTTGGACAATTTTTTCACAGTATGACTGAAAACCCACTTTAAACCTTGACTTTGTGTCACATCTGGTTGCAACATGGGCTCCCTGGTAAATACCTATAAATCTGGTGAAGTTATATCAGATTATATCAACAGATACTAGCTATGTAATATTAGTAAGATATTTGAAAAGAAAAATTCTGAGAAGGGTGTTTGAGATCTGAAGAGAATTGTTGTCACTTGGTCTTCACTGATAACAACCAGACATACAGTAGGACCAGGCAAAAGCTTTATATATAATGATAATAATAATAATCATGACAGCAACATATGTAAGGGTGTGATGAAAATCACTTAGCCCGCTAACTTCCAAAAATCATATTAAATAAGCAAACATGGGGATTTCCTTTTTTTGTTTTGTTTTTAAAAAGTTGGTTAGGAATTTTTGAGCATATCCATTTAAACAGAGTCAAGAAAAGACAAAAAATAATATTGGCAAACATGGACCTTTGTGCCTGCAAAAAAAAATGCAGTGTCGAAAGGACAGTTTTTCCCATGACAGCTTTTATTTTAAGTATCTTCATTTTTCAGCAATGTTAATTATTTTAAAAAAGCAGTGATTAGCATTGTAATAAACCCTGAACATATGATGAAAGTGAATTTAGACATTTTTTGCTTCTTCTTGAGAATTCACAACAAAAATATCAAACACTATGTATTTATTATATTTTTTTTTATTTAGAAGAATAATTTTATATTTACAATATCCTAAAAACCAATACAATTAAAACTAATGCAATGCAATATTTATCATTTACCAATTTATAAAGAAATAAACATTAAAACAATTTTGTTGCCATATTTATTATGTTTTGGCCATTGTACACTCCAGCCTTCTTCAGGTCTTTGGAATGTCTAACTGAACCTTTTATTTCGTTCACTGAGGTAGGCTGTTCTAGTTCCACGTGCCATGTCTAATGAATATCAGTTATCTCCTGTTAATTCCCCTCTCCAAGTTCTCCACCGCCTTAACCAGGTATTAAACTCACACTCTTTGGATTGAACTAACACCTTTATCCACTGTGCCATGTGAAACATTGTAATAAATATGGCAACAATGATGAGGACAGTAGTCCGAATAATGTAAATAGTGTACATAATACCTCATCTCAGAAATATAGACAGATACTAAAACAATTTTTTATTCATAAATTTATAAACATTTACTAAATTATTAAAATATAGGAATTAACTATAAGGAAATCGTTATTTACTATTTTATAAAGTTTTAATCAATTGACAATTAGACAATGTTTTGCTAATCATTCCAATAAACAATATAATAAACATAGTGTAAATAAACAATGATTATTATTTTTGTTGTCAGTTTTCGAGAATAAAGAAAATGTATAAATTTACTCTCATAATTTTAGATTTTATTAAAATCCTAATCATTGCTTTTTAAAACAATAAACATTTCCAAGGAGTGAAGGTAGTTAAAATAATAGCAGTGTCAAAGGAAAAACCATTTTGTCAGAGTAATAAATAAAAATACATGACTTCTTTACAGATTTACAACATTCTAAAAACAAATACAATTGTATTAAAACTAATGCAATATTTATCATTTACCAATTTATAAAGAAGTAAATATGAAAACAATTTTTTAATTTAATTATAAATTTATAAACATTTACTAAATTATTAAAATATGTGAACCAATTATCAGGCAATCCTTATTTACCATTTTAAAGTTTGAAAGTTTGAGCCGATGTTTTGCCAACCATTCCAATAAAATTAAATAGTGTAAATAAACAATCTAATAATTAAATAGCGTTTTATTATTTTGTTTCAAATTCTCAAGAACAAAAGAAAATGTATAAATTCACTTTCATATATAATTTAATATAATCCTATCAATTTTTAAAATAATAAACATTTCAGAGGAGGAAGGTAAAATAAAACAAAGGAAAAACCATTTTGTCAGAGTAATAAATAAAAAATACATGACTTCTTTACAGATTTACAACATTCTAAAAACAAATACAATTGTATTAAAACTAATGCAATATTTATCATTTACCAATTTATAAAGAAGTAAATATGAAAACAATTTTTTAATTTAATTATAAATTTATAAACATTTACTAAATTATTAAAATATGTGAACCAATTATCAGGCAATCCTTATTTACCATTTTATAAAGTTTGAATCAATTGACAATTAGCCCGATGTTTTTTCCAAAAATAATAAATATAAATAAACCGAGGTTTATTATTTTTGTTTCAAATTCTCAAGAACAAAGAAAATGTATAAATTCACTTTCATATATAATTTAAATTACAATCCTATCATTGATTTTTAAAACAATAAACATGAGGGGAGAGAAGTTAAAATAAAAGAAAAGAAGAAAGAAAAGAAAAAAGTCCTTTTCTCATTCATTTTTTTTTGTGTGTGGGGGGGGGTTTCAAAGGTCCCTACTTGCCAAAATAATAACCATATTTCAGAAGAAATATAAATAAAAACAGTATTTCTATCTTACTCTTGTTTATAAAAGTCGTCAGTGGCGGTACAAATCCTCCTGTTTTGTTTTTTTTTGTCCAAATTTTTTCCCAGACTGAAGTCTAATCTATATATTTGAGAACAAGCAGTCCTTATCATCAAACACCAACAATTCATACATCTGTATATTAATAGCAAACTACTATACAGAGATTGGTTCCGATACGATAATGTATCCCTGAGAGGATGAGAAGATTATCTCTCAGACATGCAAATATGTAAATACATGTGGCTACAGATGTAGATAAATTGTGTTTACAAAGCTCAGCTTTAACTGGCACAAGGCCTATATATGTAGGTATAGATTGTAAATGGTATTTGATGGTATGATGCAATGGAAATTGGTAAACATGTGCAGTAATTTCAAGAAGCAGGTCAGGTTAGGTCGGTTAGAGATGCGCTTCATGCAGTTGTCAGGGGGTTAAAAATTTCTTCCGACTACCAAATCAAATTGTTGCTATTTGTCAAAGACAGCTCATTAGCATAAAAAAGTGATTCGCTTGGTTAAGAATGAGATGACAGTAATGGTGGGGGAGTTTTTTTTTTATTTTTTTTTTCAAAAAAAAAGAAAAAAAGGGTATAGGCAAAATTGAGGTGAAGGTAAGAATTTGAATGAAGCTACGAGGCTATAAAAAGAATTACCTCAAGAGGAAAATTTTTATATATATATATATATATAGAGAGAGAGAGAGAGAAAGAAAGAAAAAGGTTATAGTTGTGGAGAGAAAAGTGTATATTTTAAAAAAGAGAGAAAAGTGTATATTTTAAAAAGAAGAGAAAAATTGCAAACATTTTTGGTCGTAATGTGAATTATTTTAAAAATATGTATTATATTTCATTTCCCATAATGAAAATTATATATAATATATATTTATAAAAAAAAATGTTGTAATGTGGATTTTTTTTTTTTTTTTTAATATATATTATATATAATAATTTCCATAATAAAATATAATACATATTTTTAAAAAAAAATCCACATTACAACCAGAAATGTTTGCAATTTTTCTCTCCCTTTTTAAAATATACACTTTTCCCTCATTGGGACAACTATAACCTCATATATATATATATATATATATATATAGATAATTACAAGATTTTTTTAATATTCAAGCCTGTAGATGTAGTTGGATAAAAAATAATGTTTAATTAAAAAACAGAGCTTCAACTCAAATATGAATATCCATCAAAAAATAATATTTAATCCATTTTATATATATATATATATATATATATATATATTTCCAAGAGGATAGAATCCAGGTAGAGCTCAATGTCCAAGACAGACCAAGAATATAAAAGGTTCACACTCTAATATTCCATGGTTTTAATTTATTACATTGGAATCGTAATCACAGTCCAATTCATCAGACGTACAAATTCAAAAACCAAATTAAAAAAAAAATTCTGTAGGTCTGATGAATTGGATCGTAATTACGATTCCAATGTAATAAATTATAACCATGGAATATTGGTGTCTAAGCCTTTTTATTATATTCTTACTCTGTCCTGGACATTGATTTCTACCTGGATTCTGTCCTCTTGGAAATTTATATATATTATATATATATATATATATATATTAATGCTCTGTATATTTACATTGAGGACTATTTTGTAAAAATATCTATAAGAACACCCGATTATATATCTTACTGTTCTTTCTTTTTATATACATATATATATAATGTGTGCGTGTGTATATTAAACTAATATTATATATATATATATATATATATATATATATATATATATATATATATATTGTTTCAGGTTTGCCTATTGCCTAATTCGCACGCTTTTCTCCATCTTTCTCATTCCTTCTCTTAAAGTCTTTCTATTCTCTTTCACTCCCAGTAAACCCTCACATCTTACTGGCATTATTGCCTTGTTTGGGGTAAATTCATTAAAGAAAAAAAAAAACCTGAAAAACAAAACAGAAAATGGAATATTCTTTCAAGTTTTACAAAATATTATATATATTAATATTTAAAATTTGCTATATTTGTGGGAGGGAAATGTGCCCAGTATTGGTGATAAGGTGTTTATAAATATATAAAATATAGACAGTGTGGACATGGGAATCAACTTTACATGTTGACTGTCAGTTTCAGGCATCAAACAATCTTCCAACCATTATATGAAAGGGCTGATATAGGTGAGAAAGAAGGATGAAGAGATGTATAGAAAGTGGGAGGAAGGACAGGAAAAGGAAAGAAACAAGAAACTTGAGAGAGAGAAGAGGAAAAGGAAAGCAGCAGGTGAGGGAGTGAAAGCAGAGATATAAAACAAAGAGGAGTGAGAGGAAATAAAAAGAGGAAAGCAAAGGCAAGGGAGAAATTAAAAGAGAGAGAGAGAGAGAGAGAGAAAAAAAAAGAATAAGATATGAGAAGAAAGAAAAAAGAGAAAAATAAAAGACTAAGCTACAGTGGGAGTAAACCTAAGCAAATTGAGAGTAAGGTTGTGAATGAGAGAGTGGGGAAGTAAGACCATAAAGAGAGCAAGTCGAATAAGGCTATGAGTGATAGGGGGAGAGTAAGGCCACAGCGAGAGAGTAGTGTAAGACTACAAAAGATCAGGGTGAATAAGGTTAAAAGTCAAAGATTAAATGGGAAAAGCAAAAGTGAAGAAAGAGAAAGTATAAATCCAAAAGAGTAGAATTAAAGGGAAAGAGAGTGGGAAAGTAAGACAAATCAGAGAGTAAGGGTGAAATGGAGAGAGTAAGAGGGAGATATAAAAGTAACATTAAAAAGACAGTAATGCTAAAGAGAGAAAGTAGAAAATAAACCAAGAATGAGAGAATAAGGCTAAACAGAGAGTGTGAGAGTATCTAAAGAGAGGATAGTGTAAGGTGGTAAAGAGGGAGTAGAGAGAATAAGAGTAAAATAGCCACAAGAGGATACAGCATTCATTGTAACAGTGATAAGAGCATCCATTCTCTTGTATGCCACAACTATAGCCAAGCTGCAAAGAACTACATAAAGGATTTTGAAATTGAAGTGAAGAGCAAAAATGACATGTCCTAACAGAATCCACCTAGATCTATATGACCCCTAAAGCAGGTCACTGTTACTGATTGAAAATTGGAAGAAATATCTTACCGTAATGAGGAAGGACAATGAGACATCATCTGGAGCTAAGATCCAAGTGGGTGTTGGTCTTTAAGATGTATTTATAGAAACAACCGAGATGGCAGCAATTAAAACAGTAGTTGTAAGACTCATAGTTGTAGTAACAGTAAGAGTTGTATATTGATTGCCGTTTTATTTATACAGTCTGCTTCTCTTTATTCTTTCCTTCCATTTCTCTTACAATCTTCAAAATCTCTCCATATATATTTTTTGTATCTCTTTTCTTTATACGTTTTACTGAATTTAATTTTTCTCTCTTAATCTTACTAAAACCTTCATACGTTCTTGCAGTCTTCAAAGTCTCCTCATAGCTTTTTGATTCTTTTATTTCCTTGTCTAACTACATTTTTCTTTCTACACTTTTCTTTCACAATCGTTCTTTAGAATTTTCCTAATTTATCTCAATAGTTCAAAGTCTCTCCATAGCATTTTTAATTTTTTTTTTCCATAAGCTACTTACTAAATTCTTATTTCTCTCTCTTTCAGTTACTTTGCAATTTTTCTTTTAAAGTCTCTCCAAGGTTCAAATTAAATTTATACCTTTTTTGTTTCTCAGTCTCTAAATGTCATTCGTTCTTTTTTTCTCCATTTTCATTGTCCTTTTACCTTATACAGGATTTAAAAAAAAAAAACCCAAAAAAAAACATATACACTTTTACACAGTATCTTTCTATATTTCCGAGATGAGGTATTATGTACACTATTTACATTATTCGGACTATTGTCCTCATCTTTGTCACCATGTTTATCACAATGTTTTGACCATTGTACGCTCCAGCCTTCTTCAGGCAGTTGGAATGTTGAACTGAACCCATTGGCGTTAGTTAGATCCAGTGACAGAACCCAAAGAATGTGAGTTCAATACCTGGTTAAGACGGTGGAGAACTTTGAGAGGCGGATTAACAGGAGATAACTGACATCAATTAGACATGGCATATGGAACTAGAACAGTTTACCCCAGTGAGTGAAATAAAGGGTTCAGTTTGACATTCCAACCACCTGAAGAAGGCCGGAGCGTACAACGGCCGAAACGTTGTGATAAACATGGCGACAATGATGAGGACAATAGTCTGAATAATGTAAATAGTGTACACTTTTACACACTTTTTTCCTCATTCAACAGACCTAAGTCCATTGGATGTTTCTTGTGGGGATACTTAAAAAATAAAATCTATGCTACAGAGCCAGTAACAATCACTGAAATGAAAGTTTCCATAGAGCAGGAATGCAGTGAAATATGTATCAAAATGTTAATTGCTGCTTGTGTTTCAGGAATATAACGGACATCAATTTGAAAATTCGGACACATGGCACAGTGGATAAAGGCGTTGGTTAGATCCAGTGACAGGACCCAAAGAGTGTGAGTTCAATATCCATTAACAGGATATAACTGATAACTGACATCCATGGCATGTGGAACTAGAATAGTCTATCCCAGTGAGCGAAATAAAGCGTTCAGTTCAACATTCCAACCACCTGAATGAAAGCCGGAGTGTACAAAGGCTGAAATGCTGTAATAAATATGGCAACAAAATAGTGAAAATCATAAGAGTATGCATTTATAATAAATACTGAAGCATGATGGGATAGCTGCTTGGATTGGGGAATCTGAGAGCCAAGTTCCAGTTGAGTTCATTACATGCAGATACCCTTGGGAAAGGTATGAATCCAACTCTTCTCCCTCCAGATATGGGTAAATAGTAGGATAGAGTAGGTTCTATAGCCTTGATTGACAACCAGTCTAGGAGGACATCTGAATTCAAAAGCTGAGGAGGGTTGTTTGGGGAGGGGACCTTGTGGTATACTGTACACCAGTTCTCTGAATTTGAAGTCAGCCAGTCTCCCTCTCTATTAAACACAAGTAAATTTTTTTTTTTTTTTTTAACCATTTTGCCCCAAGCAAGGCAGGAGTGCCAGTACAATACAAGGGTTACAGAAAGTGAAAGTAAGAGTAAAGAGGCGTGTTTAAGGAAAATATAAAGAGAAGGATGGGGATCAAGACATCAGAAGATATTACTTTTGAATATTTGAAGATTATAGCTATCAGGGAAGCAAGTAAGAGGAAGGGAATTCCACTGTTGGGAAGTGTAAGAGAAGAAGCTTTTGGAGTAGAAGAGGTGGTTACATTTAACTGTTTCAACAGTGAAAGAGTGGGACCAAGATGCCAACCTAGTAGCACGCTTAAATTCATGCAGTTGGGGTATCAGTGAAAGTAGCTGGTCAAAGCAGTTATCATGGGAATATTTGTAGAAAAGACAGACTGACTCTTTTACACCTATCTATCCAAATTTATTTTATATGATGGGTGGGTCATCATATTTTGCACTCTTCCCCTGAATTGTCATACAGAAAAAAAAAAAAAATTGTGCTCGATTAAACAGAAATTACTTACAATATAATACTTATTACTTATGATACATTCCTTCTTGGTATCAATTTTGATGACATGGGCATACTAGCATGTGAATATATATATATATACCCATACTTAATACTTCTCATTTTCATTCTCACGTGGTCATGTGTGACGTCATGAGCTGCGACGTGATTTTCACTTCCGCATCTCATATACACGAGTTTGTTGTTACTTTGAAATTTTTCATGCAGCAAGGGATGACTATCATTGTTGTTTTGTCCGTGTGTTGTTTGATATATTGAAATTGTCATCTTTGATAATGGCTTATGTAAGCCGAAAGCTTAGATTGGATTTAAACATGTATCAAGATGGTGTTTTCCTTTCGTCTTTCAATGATAATGTGATTAAGCTTATCAGACAATATGAAAGGAACTTAAAATAAATAGATACAACATGTCTATATTATTTAATGAAACATGCATATATATATATATATATATATATATATATATATATATATATATATATATATGGTAGAAAAAAGAGAGGCTTTAAATAAAAGGATAGAAAAAACCCTTACAGAAGAGGAGGAGGAGGAGAGAGAGAGAGAGAGAGAGAGAGAGAGAGAGAGAGAGAGATTAGAATATTAAGAAAAAGAAGAAAGAATGAAAGAAAAAACATCCAGACAAAATGCTAGATAAATGAAGACAACTACATAAAAAAGTAATAATCTTTAAAACTTCACAACTAAATAAAGAGAGAGAGAGAGAGGGAGAGAGAGGGAGAGAGAGAGAGGTAGAACTAGAGGGAACTAGAGGGAGAGAGAGAGAGAGAGTAGCGAGAACTAGAGGGAGAGAGAGAGAGAGGTAGAGAGAACTAGAGGGGACTAGAGAGGAGGGAGAACTAGAGGGGAGAGAGAGAGAGAGGTAGCGAGAACTAGAGGGAGAGAGAGAGGAGGAGAGAGAGAGAGAGAGGAGAGAGAGAACTAGAGAACTAGGGGAGAGAGAGAGAGGAGAGAGAGAGAGGTAGCGAGAACTAGAGGGAGAGAGAGAGAGAGGTAGCGAGAACTAGAGGGAGAGAGAGAGAGAGGTAGCGAGAACTAGAGGGAGAGAGAGAGAGAGGTAGCGAGAACTAGAGGGAGAGATAAATGTAATGAATGAATTGATTGTTAAAAAAAGGGAAAAAAAATCCAGAACTGACATAAAGAGATAAAAAATTTAAAATGAATGAATCAGTTGTCAAAGTTAAGTTGGTGGGGAAACTGTGCAATGCATAAGTGAATATATTTTTGTGAATGAAACACTTTTTCTTGACTGTCAAAAAAAATGACAATTCACTGAATGCTTATGTACTTGAGAATTTCAAGGACATGTCATAATATAGATTTAGCCAAGACAGAAGCCCACCCCCTCAAAAAAAAGTAAAAAGATATACTAAGTACTGTCCACAAAATATTACAGAAACAAGTAAATAGGCAACATTTTATTACTTAGAGTTGATATTTAAACATCTGTACAAAATGTCTTTTGGGCAGTGAATCAGATATGATATTCTATACGGTAGGGTAATGGATAGCGACTTAGCTTGAGAAATTGGAGAGCCAAGTTCGAATTCCATTACATTCATTTATGTGCTAATACTTTTGAAAAAGGCATGAATCCTCTTCTTCTCCCCACCGCTATGGATAAATAGCAGGACAGACCTAGTTCTATAGCCTTGGATGGCAACTGGCCTACCGCAGAAAGAAATCTGCCTTGTCAGTCATGTATTGAAAGATACATGATCACCTAAGCGTGTATCATGCTTGGCAAATAACTTGACTGATTCTAGACAATTTCACACATATCCACCATGAACTGTGCTTCTTATCTCTTACTCTGTAACCCTCTACTTCAAATGGATCTTGGGCCTTGTATAGGGTGGAGATTATTATAGAAAAGAGAAGGAGAGAAGGAAGGAAAGGAAAGAAGGAGAAGAAAAGAAAGAGGAGAAGAAAAGAAGTAATTGTCATCTAGTTGTTGTTTCACCTCCAGATCCAGGGATTGAACTCACAACCAACATGTTCGGGAGGAATATAATAACTGGCATCACAGAAATCATGTGTCCTGTAGAGTCCTAGGGCTACTACATGTACTGTAGTCATCACAGAAGTGCTGTGTCTTGGGCAACATAGCCTGACTGAACCTATTTCCAGATTGGTTTGAATTCAGAGTTTTCCTTCTCTTAGACAGTTTGCCAATCAAGGCTGTAGTGCCCAATCTGTCCTGGTATTTACCCATAGATGTGAGAGAAGAGATTGATTCATACCTTTTCCAAGGCTATTAGTGCATAAGTGAATGTGACACACTTGACTGGAATTCAAACTTAGTCCACTGATTTCCCATTTTGAACTACTGCCCATTATACCACCATAATTAGATATCCTACATCATCCAAAACAATCAGCTCTTGATGATGCCCAGAGACTACTTGGTTGAATTAATTAATTGATTCATTTTCTTATGGCTTAACCCTTTATAGGTTATTTAAAGCCAGAAAATATTTTTATATTGTAAGAATTTAGGGGAAGGAGTTAATGGTTTAGTGATACAAGTTTTATTAATTAACCCATAGCTGGAGAGAGAAAAGGTGGATTCATACCTTTCCCAAGAGTATTTTGCATCTAAGTGAATATATATATAGAATTGAAACTCTGGTCTTCGATTAACAATGCCGAGCCATTATCCATTACAGCACCTGGTATTTCCAAGCAGTCACCAATCTAGATATTGACCAGGCTAGACATTGCTTAACTTTGGTGAATGTTTGAGAGCTGGTGTTTCCCCATTATGTGACCATAAGCCTCAATAAATTTAACAACATTGTAAAACAATGCTTTATTTGTCAATGTCTAGTGATCTTGTACCAGCCTGGAAGAGAAAAATACAACTTAATGTCTTATCCTCACATGGGAACCTAAGTGAGAAGGAAGGAGAGAATGGAAGAGAAAGAAGTTACAGTTTAATTGGAGAGAATGAAAATAGATACAAAGAAAGAGTGAGTTGGAGAAAGAGACAGAGAAAAACAAAGAAAGTGGGAGAGAAGATACCAAAGAAGTGAAAGAAAGAAGGAGAGAGAGAGAGAGAGAGACAAGAGAGAGAGAGAGAAAGAGACATGAGAGAGAGAGAGAAAGAGACATGAGAGAGACAGAGAGAGAGAGAGAAAGAGACATGAGAGAGAGAAAGAGACAGAGAGAGAAAGAGAAAGAGAGAGAGAGAGAGAAAGAGACATGAGAGAGAGAGAGAAAGAGACATGAGAGAGAGAGAGAGAAAGAGACATGAGAGAGAGAGAGAGAAAGAGACATGAGAGAGAGAGAGAGAAAGAGACATGAGAGAGAGAGAGAAAGAGACATGAGAGAGAGAGAGAAAGAGACATGAGAGAGAGAGAAAGAGACGTGAGAGAGAGAGAAAGAGACGTGAGAGAGAAAGAGAGTGAGACATACGAGATGAGACGAGAGACATACGATACAGACAAGATGGGGTGGGGAATTCCTAGGGACTGTAATTGAAAAGAAAAAGAGAAAGCCAAAGAATGCACAATTAAACACTAAAGAAAAAAAAAAGAAAAGAAATAACGACTGCTGCAAGGAGGGCTATAGGAAGTAGAGGATAATAGACAAAGTCAAAAAAGAGTGAGGAACAGGAAAGAATGAGAAATTTGAGGGATAGCACTAAAAAAAAAAATTTCTGATACAAATAAAAAAATATGAAAGAAACACACGCTTACCTTGTGATTTTTGGAAAACATTTCAGAAGAATGTATTTTTTTTCCACTTAAACCAAAGAAAATAACATAGCTTGCATTCTGCTATCCTCAAAAATCAGGCCCACCTCCCAAAATTTGATAACTTTCACTCTCTTTTAAAAGAACAATCTCAAAAAAGAAAGAAAGAAAGAAAATATTCACAGAGTCAGTTGTTAGCTGTTATCAACCATGGAACACCTGGACAATGGCCAATCCACCTGACTATCACTCAACCACTAGTTGCCCATGGATTTCAACATATAAGTCAGTATTTAGGCGATGGATAACAAAGCTAAGAACATGATGCACAATAAAAATAAAAAAAAAGAAAGAAGAGAGTGTGGAAGATGGTATTGGTTGATTCCATCATCTCTATCAGGTGTTAATACATTCTGTTTTTAATTGCCTGATCTTGGCTAATTTGGAGGCAGGTACGTCCTTGGTCTTACCTACCTGTAAAACCAACATCTACTTCCACAATCGATTTGGGTCCGATTGGATAATATTTTTGCCAGATCTAACAGACCAGAAGGCTTAAAGAGGAGGAGTAACAATTATGTTCTTTTTGTCTTCCACACACCAAGCATGGGTTGGCAAATATGGCCGAAGAAAATGGAGGCGTGTGTGTGTGTAAAAAGAAGATGAATTTAATCCTCCACCTTGCCAATTAAAAAGATTTGAGATTTACAGGTAATGATTATATTTTCTCATTGAATGCTTGTTGTTAAAAATGGGAGTGAGGCAAAAGATGTGGGAGGGAAAGTTGGAGTTTTTACCCCCTCTGTATTTGTTTTTTTAAAAAGTGAAATATTGGGGGGTGGGAAGGAAGAATAAAAATATAATAATGAAGGAAAGAATTGAAAAGAGATTTTAATAAAGAACAAAGAAGAAAAAAGTGGGGGGAAAAAAAAAAAAAAAAAAAAAAAAGAAAGGAGGAAGCAAAATAAAAGAATGAAAAAAAAAAAGTGTGAGGGGTAAGGGAACTGAAGAGGGAGAACAAGAGAACAGAGAAAGAGAGAGAGAAAAAAGGGAGAGAGAGAAAAAAAAGGGGGGGAGAGAGAGAAAAAACAAGGGGAGAGAGAGAGAGAAAAAACAAGGGGAGAGAGAGAAGGGAAAAACAAGAAAGATGTGAAAAATTAAATGTAGGTAGAAAAGAATAAAAAAAAAAAACTGGTAAAGGAAAACGAAAAAAGGTAAACAGAAGAAAGAAAGAAAAAAGAAAGAAGAAAGAAAAAAAGGAAAAATAAAGAAGAAAGAAAAAAAGGAAAAATAAAGAAGAAAGAAAGAAAAAAGAAAAAAAAAAGAGAAGCTTATGCAATTCAAATTTTACTAATAAAAGAAAAAGTCACTAAAAACAATGCAGAAGCCCCAAAAGGTTTTTTTTTTCTTTCCTTTTTTAAAACTGACTTCCATTTTGAATGAAGGTTTAAATTTGCAAGAACACTTTTTGTATTAATTTTGATCCCTTGATCTTCTTAAAACAATTAATGCAGGCAGGGCAATTATGGTTTAGTCTTGAAACAAGTCCAGGCAAATATGGAAAAAGGAAAATGAATAAATAAATAGAAAATCAAATACTGTTGATAGCTTAGTCATTGCCAGTGGTCAAAAATAAAAATGAAATGATATCAGAATATTTTAATTGGTCTGCTTAAGACAGTCTTGTCATGTGACAAAATGAAAGAGAGAGAAAATTACGGGCAATTGAAAAAAAGAGATCAAGAAGGAAAGAAAGACGAGAAAGAAAAGGAAGTCAGACAAAAGAAATGAAACAAGAGAGAAGATCTTCTTGGGGGTATAGAATTTAATTAATGCTATAAAAACAGACATGCCTATTAAAAAAATGAAACGAAAACAGACACAATCACTATAAATGGTAATTTGAAAAAGAAAAAAAA